AGCGTTTTTTTCGATAAAAAAACATTATAAATCAGAATAAGATATGCATTTTTTAGGTTGATTTTTGGACAATTATTTTCTGCTTTGTTGCTGATGACTAGACTATTTGTTGAAGAACGTTAATAATTTTAAACGAAAACAGAAAAACAAATATATTGATGAATTTATGATGTAATAAATTATGTCAAATTTCTTTTACAACATCCATTCAACACATTTCATGATGATGATGATGATGATGATGATGATGATGATGATGATGATGATGATGATGATGATGATGATGATGATGATGATGATGATGATGATGATGATGATGATGATGATGATGATGATGATGATGATGATGATGATGATGATGATGATGATGATGATGATGATGATGATGATGATGATGATGATGATGATGATGATGATGATGATGATGATGATGATGATGATGATGATGATGATGATGATGATGATGATGATGATGATGATGATGATGATGATGATGATGATGATGATGATGATGATGATGATGATGATGATGATGATGATGATGATGATGATGATGATGATGATGATGATGATGATGATGATGATGATGATGATGATGATGATGATGATGATGATGATGATGATGATGATGATGATGATGATGATGATGATGATGATGATGATGATGATGATGATGATGATGATGATGATGATGATGATGATGATGATGATGATGATGATGATGATGATGATGATGATGATGATGATGATGATGATGATGATGATGATGATGATGATGATGATGATGATGATGATGATGATGATGATGATGATGATGATGATGATGATGATGATGATGATGATGATGATGATGATGATGATGATGATGATGATGATGATGATGATGATGATGATGATGATGATGATGATGATGATGATGATGATGATGATGATGATGATGATGATGATGATGATGATGATGATGATGATGATGATGATGATGATGATGATGATGATGATGATGATGATGATGATGATGATGATGATGATGATGATGATGATGATGATGATGATGATGATGATGATGATGATGATGATGATGATATCAACCATTTACGAAAATATTTTAATGGTTCCCTAAAATTATGATACAATTTGCTTGAATGATTGAAAAAACAATTTAATTAAAAAGTGTAAGCATAAAACTTTCTCTCAACTTTACAAATAAGACAGCTTCTTGTAGATGTAATGGGTTTTTTGAATTGTGAATCAATAAAAAACATTGATCATTAACTTAAGTGGTGACTGTTACCAAGAGTTGACTAATCTTCAGTTGCTATTCCATATAATATTCAGATTGTATTTTAATTAAGTTTATTTTATTCGAAAATTGTGTTATTTTATTGAGTTGGTTGATTAGTTATTCTGTTTCTTTATTTAAAGCTACTGTAGTGATAATTTGATTTTCGTTAGTAAACATCATCAATCTACTTTAGGATAGATTATATAATTAAGAAATCACAACGAATATCATCTAAACAGTTTGTCTTAAACTTAAGATTTCAAGAGAACTTTTGTTGTTGTTATCACTTGTCGAAAGTTAGATAGTAATTTGTGGTATTCAAAATACAGCTTTATGTCAATACATCTTTCTTATTTCTTCATTTAACACTTCTTAATATCAAAAAATTATCAACAAGCAAGTGAGCCGACAAATCATTAGGCCCTAGACTGCTTTTGTTATACCATTGACAAAGAACTTTCTTCAAACTAGAATATGTAAAATACGTTGCTATATTCAGCTTATTTTGATTTTGATCGGTTAAGATGACTGATAGACACTGTCACAGGTAGCTGAATATTTTTTCTTCTATGAAACTTCATCCACCGGTTCAAAATTCAATATTTCTTCAAAAGACTACAACAATCATGAATATCCATCCTATAAATAGATTGAAAATTCATATGTTAGATCTTTGTTTGCTCTAACTGCTTTTTTGACTTTATTGACAATACTGTTTGGTATGAATGAGAAGATGATACAATGCTAAAAGTACTAAATACATGGAATGATAACATGTGTGGTTTCTTCTTCATCTTTATTTCATAATTACTAGATTATACCTGATTGACGACTGTGAAAAATTATTGATTGTCAAAAATATATCTATATATATATATTTTTTAATCAATTATAAATTACGGCGGGAAACTTAAGGCAAATGAAATTCTGTATTATTGAGATTTAAATATTGAAACTTAAGCAACTAATTCTTATCAAATATTACATAAAACAACTAATTACTAAATACTCTTTCAAAAATATACAAATTAGTTTAGATTGATATTATGAATGGATCAATGTTGGACCACTATTAAAACCTGGAAGCACTGAACCGTCTTTTCGTCCAAGTATGGGCTCTCCAGCAGTATCCGCGTTCCTGCATGCAGGACTCGGACCACCGTTCTCGCATGTGAACGCTTAACCTCTAAACCATTTAGTTGACACCCGATGGTGTTAACGCTTAACCTCGGTCAACCGATGATTATTACCGTCGAGGAAGTTTCCAAATATCGCAGAAACTTCAAGTCTATGTATAAACTTTGATTTCTAGAAAAGAAATAACCATAAATAACAACTTTCATTGTGTCATCAACTACTGGATTACTGGGGGTTCGGAATTCGGAAGGATGGTGAGATTCTAGAGGCCAGTCGGGATGTCAACGCCAATAATGTCCTACGGTGTTACTGTCTAAAATCAACCAATCCATGGTATTGCGCGACCGTTCACTATTGTTTTCAGGGAGTAACCGCTTCACACCAGACACGGTTGAACTATACTGGCTACAGACACCACTGAACGGTGATGTAATATTACTCCATTAATGAAATCGATATAACAAACGTAAATACATATATCTTTTATAGCCATCGGTACAACCAACATTCGAAGGTATTGATATAAGCTGTAAAACTCAGAAAAACCTTGAGAGAATCACATAACTATTATATCGTGTTTTAGGATCCCTTTGAAGTCTGAGTCCATGAACATAGAGTTAAAAATGTCGAGATCTTGAGGTCTGGAGGTTGGGAAGACAATGATTTCGTAATGAGTCAGAATACATTGGTGTCTAAAACTCCATAGACTTGTCATATAATGGAAACAGCATCCCCTGTGATCGATACGCATGTATTTAGCTATTGAACTGGTTATCTCGATATGATTTAGTGACTTTCATAAGTCACTTATAATGCTCTAAAGTTAATCCTATTCATAGCACTTGAACTTCAATATATTACGTTCTAAAAGTTTATATATTCTCAAGTAATTTATGGGTTAATACAAGCTATTTTGATTACTTTTTGAAATAATCACGTCAGAAGATATTAGATTGAGAAAACGAGGAGACCGTTAGTGGAAACGTTGATGCTGTGTTCACTGTGACCCACTCCGTGTCGACGTGAGGGGGCACAGTTCACCAACTAACCACAACTACCTTCTTAATATTGGCCAAAATCCCTAGCTACTAAGCGACCACGACATCAATCACCTCAAGCTTACGGGATACCTTTCTGATGTGTGCCGAACAGCACGAAACCTGAGTCCAGGATTTCCCGTCGACTACCCCGGACCACCACATTATGTCGACAAAAATTTAACTTTAATAGTACTTTTCTTCTTTTTTCAGTACTATGAGTTTTAAAAAGTACTTTTAGTTATGTTTGATATGATGGGATAAAACGATATTATATAGGTCAGCATTTTTTGTATCAACTCCTAAGAAATTTAGGCCAAAGTGACAGGTGTAAACGTAGTTCAATATGATACTTCGTGATCAATATTTTCTAGTATCAATTCAGTATAAAATTTGTTTTATATGACTTGTGAATTCTCGTTCAGTGTGACAACTTTACATCCTGTATTAATTCAAGTGAACTACATTTATTTTGTTTTTACAACAAATGTATGTATTCCTTCTCCTACTCTATTAAATGTGTGTAAAAATGAGTGCGTAAATAATTCCATTTTGGTCTAGTGTTGATTTTGAGACTTGTTTGTAGATGTTTTTTTCAAGGATTTAAAAAGTGTTCTTTGTACCAGTTTTCTGTGTTGTGACTTCATTTCGTGGGATTTTTATTGGTTACCATTACCCTACATAAACGTTAGGGTTAGGAAATTGTATTGGTTACCGATTGTCAGGTAAATGCAATTATACTGGGAACTCAACAAACTTGATACATACATAACAGAAACGACTCCTCAGATAACATAGTTGACCACTGAGTTATAACAGTGAAGATAGGATCAATTATACAGTCACAGAGATATGATTGAAAGTATTCTTCTAACGATATTCATTGTTCTCCTTCTTTAAATTCGTTTGTCATATTACAGAATATATGTAATGCAGTAAATTTTCCCGATACTCATGACTTTCACATAGAAAATTTTTTTCAAGTGGTAGTATTCAATGGTAGATATTATTTTATTTAAAACTCATTTAATCCATTTTATGCATCTACATTATAACGCTTGTTTTAAATATCCATATTTATTCTATGGGAAAATTGATATTATCAACTCAATTAGTTGTAAAGACGGCAGTTCATTAATATCTACTGTAGACCATAAAAAGTACATTATTAAAATGTACTATTAATTAACATAATTAAAACTTATTAATGATATCTATATATTATTACATTATCTTATTTATTGAATAAAATAATAATGGGAATAAACAAATAAATAAATAAATAAATAGATTGACCAATAAAATTTCAGGAAAAATTCAGCTCATTTTTTCATTGGCTCTTTATAAATTAAATAATAACCAATAAGTAATCTGCTTTTCTTTTCTTTATTTTTTCTTTTTATTTTAAGAAATAAAAAAATTATGATTAATTTATGTAACACACTTTATTTAAGTGTATTTTCAATTACAAATTAATTACCAAGTAAATATTAATTATTGAATAAAAGAAAATATATCACTTAAAGAGTACAATAATGAAAAACATGCTTAATAGTACGATACATCATCATCATTATAAACATGTAGATTTTATAAAAATCATTTTATATATTTATTGGATATGTTCAAGTTATGTAAATTGTATGAGATATAATACAGTTTATCAAAATGATGATTTATCATCTGTCTATAAAATGCCTAAGAAACATTCAAGTAGGTTTTAATTATTTATATATTAACATTTTTTAAAATAAAACTTCAATTATTAAATTGTTTAATATATATAGGTGTTTAACATCTTTCAACAGTTCAGTTCACCTATCACTCTAATCTAGACCAACATTGAAAACCTGGAAGTACTTGAGGACTGTTTCGTTTCGATGTGGGACATTTCAACCGTGCGCATCCATAGTCTTGCACGCAAAAGTCCTATACTACAACGAAACGGCCATCCAATATTTTCAGGTTTTCAATGGTGGTGTAGCATAGATCGACTATTGAATTCAACTGTTATAATACTACAATCTCCAAAAATCTCCATTCTAATGAATGACAATAAACATTTATTTTTTAATAGTTGAGATTATGGGTCAATTGAATTTAAACCACCATGCTTTTAAATTTTCCATGGTGTTTCCATCTTCATTTGACTCATGATCTCAACTATTAAAATTACTATAATATTCACAAAGACCCATCTAACATTAATTTTTCAGTTGAAGATCATACATATATTTGATGATGTATCATATAAAAAATAATGATATTTGTTCGTTTTATAAATCAATTTTTACAATAATCATTTTCTTAAATAAAATGAAATTTTTCCGATCTCATTTATCTACTGATGGTAAGTAATTTATTCAATCGGAAACTATATTTCAAATTTGGATGAATAAAAATTGAGTTTGGTTTATTTCTTTTATTTTTAAAATGGTTTTTCTCGTTAGCGCTTTTTAAGCTAGTTAGTTTTCTACGGGATGGAATTGCTAACCCCATGCCCAACCCTCCTCCTTTATTCGGGCTCGGGATCGACAGTAGCCCCCGGGGGGACTCCAGGCCGAGTAATTAAACTTAAAAATGTAGAAGTATTCCACATTTTTTATATTGGTCGTTTAAAAGAAGGCATATGATTAGATCAATTTTATCAGTTTATTTCCGAATTTCGTATTATTTCACTGTGCTTAAAAACGTTTCAAAGTTTGAGTAATAATCATTAAAATGAATCATGTGTGAATTAGTTCCCAAACTCTTGGTCTGAATTATTATTCTCATGAGAAATACTTTAACTTTCTGAAGGTGAGAAAACTATTAATTTTACAAAAATGAATTAAACTTATGTAAAGTTCTTCTTGGTTAAAATGAATTATTATTTTTATTACATTGTATCATGTTTTCAATAACACTGTCAAATTGATCATTGAAAAAAACTGTGTCTAACCGTTCTATTTGGTGAAGAAACAAGAATATATGAGCTAATAAAGTAATAATTGTAAAAAATGTTCTGTATATACTTGGGTTTTCTTAACTGTTTACACACACAATTTAGAACTGTACAGAAATCAAGAACTCTATGGTTTTGCAGAATGGGATATGTTTTAGACGATTTAAAATCCTTTCAGAACTATCTGAGAAATTTTTAACACAAACATGCTAGTGTTTTTTGTGGTTTGTAAACAAAGATACATACTAGGCGTTTCAATTTATGTTCTTGTTCATGTCAGTATGTATTTGCTCAACACGAAATTTTAAATTATAAGCTTTCCGGAAAGCTTATAATACGAATAGAGACTGTATTCCAATAATCTCTTGAAATGACAATTTTAACATTACTTCATTGTCATGACATTATAGTGTATGTACAAACACACAATTAGTTTTCTGTAATATTAACATACGAGGCAAAGTAGCCATCATTGTCGGTTGAACCACCAAGGACAGAATTTGCAGCAAATAAATTACGCTTACGATTTGATCTCTAGTTGAAATTCGTTTCTGTAGGTAGATTGATATACAGAAGTATCGGTTAAGCTGTGAAATTATTTGAACATAAAGATATCATCGTTGCTTATATTACTAACGATGCATTCGTTATCAAACTGGTAACAGGGATTCAAACTACTTTGATTGACTGTTTGGTTTTCAAAAGAAACGTTTAATTCCCTAGCATGCTAATCCCTTTCAGCAATGGCTGTAGTGTTCTGAAATATAATTTTTTAGAATTATTGAAGCTGTTGTTAAATTAAATTGTTCATTCAGCCAATACATCATAGTAATAATTTATCAAATTCGTCCAGCATCACGTCAAACACATCAGCTTGTCTAAAATTCATGTCTATATATCAAAATAAGTATGTGACATTTTCTTGATGAATGTGAAATATTTGAAATCCTTTTTATACTATGTACTAATATATATTTGATTGCAAAAATAACTAGTATAATAAAAATGGATAGTGGCTAGCAGTAGAATCCGGGACGCAAGTTTCATCTTATTTGGGACTCGTCAGATGGATGCACCTACATCTCAGAGTTGATGTTTACTTTGGGACTCGAACCCAACACCGTTCGCTTTATTCGTTATCGCGTTATCCAGAGTGAACATCAACTCTGGGATGCAGTAACATTCAGCTGATGGGTCCAAAATAGGGCGAAATGCACGTCCTGGATTCCACTGCTAGCCACCATTCATCGTTGCTTATAAAGCTTGTGAACTAATGCAATATCGAGGTAGTCCGCATAGGATGTATATACACCAACAAGAGACTGATCAATTGCAGTCCTGAACATCAATGGGAAGATTTAGGCAAACAATACCAAGTGAATTAAACTACTGTAATACTTCAATAAAGTTAGTTCCGACTTTAATCTATTTTAATATATTTGTTACTTAGTCAAGATTCATTTTTGTTGAAAAAGTTAAGAATGATAGATGTTAGCAAGTATATAGATGTCATCCATTTATTTGTTATAACATACATTCTATTGAGAAAATAAAATTAAATAACTTATCACTCATATAGTTCATAATAATGGTAAATATACCATAGTGACGTTATACTTCAACCCCCTTTATTTGAGTTCCTAAATTTTTTAAATCAGTCATCAAGAGACTTTATTCTAACATCAGAAATGAAAAAAGATTTTAAAGAAAATATTAGAAGTCTGGTAATCAGAGTCACCATAATTTAGTCCCTGGTTTACATTGACGTGTATTATGAAGAAAATAACTATGTATAGCTATCATGTTTATAAGGGTTTATTTATTTATTTATTTGAAAACATAAACATCAGTACAAGGAGACACCAAATATATATGCGCCACATAAATCATTCGATTTGCGTGAGGGCTGTGATACTGCCCGGGTGCCCAAACCGAAGCAGGTGGTTTTCTTAAAGTGCCACACCCCGAGCCTTTCACCTAACGGTCTCTCACCCATAAGGCAGTGGAGCATCGTGAGGAGATGCAGTCCCATGGTAGCCGGTGACCAACTATTGGTTCATACGTCATTTGTTCCTTCAGGATACTGAAGCCGATATGCATCAATTTTTTGGAATCCGGTTAAAGCGCCGGACATTAGCGTTTCGTCCTCTCATTTTTGTAAACAACACCTCCGCCACAAAAAGGCAATGAGTAGGACTTCCCTGGAAGAGGCTGTATACGTGTGGCCATGTGAGAGCATTTCTAGAGGAAGGAAGGGCCCACTACACTCTCGGCCATACCAGGGCATTTGGGGGCGTTTGTGATGGTGGACTATATAACATGATTCTTTTAAATTATCATTTTTCATTGAAAGTAATACTAGTTCAATCTTTTGTTCTTAAATATATGTGATTAATTATTTTCATCTATGTGAATGTATGATTCTAGTAAAAATTAATTAATGAAGACATTTAGTACATCATTTAATGGAATTCCATTCTCTTGTTTAATTCCATATTTCGCCATGAACACTGACAGATACAATAAATTATTACTTACACTTTTTAAAATAACAAATAATATCTTCTTTGATGATGATGGTGATGATGATTGTCATCAATTCGACACTTCTGAATATTTGATATTACTATAGATAAGCTTATGTGAAACACACCAGGATATATTATTTGATGTGTATGTTGAAAACAAAAACACAACACATATCTGCCTATCTATCTATCTATCTATCTATCTATCTATCTATCTATATATCAATCAATCAATCAACACTGAACAAATCTGGTTTATCTAAAAATTAGTTAATCCCGTAGTTCGAATGTATATCTGTTATATATATATATATATATATATATATATATATATATATATATATATATATATATATATATATATATATATATATATATATATATGTACTGTAAGGTAAACAAACAACAAATTATTGAAGAAAATCTTTTTGTCAAAACAATACATGAACCCATAAAACTGCAGAACCAGAGAAAACCAAACAAAATACACCTATTTTTTCATATATTTCTTCATTTTACAAAAAAACATATTTCATAAATATATTTTCCTTATTAGAATATAATAATATTTATATACATATATGAATTAAGAATTATAATGATACACATTTAATTAGTATTTCATTATATTAAAAATTGTATTTAATTAATTACTAGTATAGGGGTTGTGGAGATTATTAAATTTTTGATTGAGATCATGAACCGATTGATGTTACACCACCATTGGCAACCTGGAAGCACTGGATGGCTGTTTCGTCTCAGGGCCTACGGTCTCTCGCGTAAACGCTTAACCTACTAGGCTACTGAGCCGGCATCCAATGGTGATAGTATCTAATATCAACCAATCCGCGGAATCGCACGATCATCTTCCATTATAACGAGGTAGATGCCTGTCTCTACTCGACATCGATTAGCTCCAATGGTCACGACTTCTCACTAGAACTCCGAGAATCCCCTCACGAAGCTAGTCACTAGTGAGCAATTTCGTGGATTTGTTTATTTTAGACACTATCACCACTGGGTGCTGGCTCAGTAGTCCAGTAGTTTAAGCGTTTGCGCGAGAGACCGTAGGCCCTGGTTTCGAATCCCGCGCACATGATGGTGAATGCGCACAGCTGAGGGGTCCCACAATAGGACGAAACGGCCGTCCAGTGCTTCCAGGTTTCCAAAGGTGGTGTAACATCAATCGGTTCGTGATCTCAATCAAAATTTAATCAATGAAATAATTGTTGTATTTTAAA